CTGTCTCAAACATGGAAAGGCACTATGGCGCTTTCACAAAAAAATTCATTTTAATGACACAAGGTGTTATCAATTTTTATTTCGTATGATATAACTAAATTTCAAAATTCATTTTTTATGTCCGGGGCTCCGTTAATCGAATACAGTGGTACGAGCATATTATGGGAATGGTACAGGCCAAGGTAATACAATTCATTTATTTTGTTTTTTTTGCATCGAAAAGTCAAATGGAGATTTTGAGGTTAGGATATTCATTGGTAAATGATAAATGGATAATTCACAATTTTGTAGGTGATTAGGTATTATAAATGTATATCTGTATGTGGGAAATTGATTTTTTACATATTTTGTCTTTTGCTGAAGGTTTTGGTGTTGAATTACAAATGGACTTGAGGTTGCGCAAAGTTCTATGAGAAGTTTATTTAGATCTATTTACATAACATGTTTTGATTATTTTAGGTCTTTTCAGCGTAAAATCAAATATAACTATTATAATTAATTCATTTAAGGAATTGTTCTTGTGGACTTCAAATGGTGTAATATACCTTAATGAATTAATCGATGACATTATTGAATTGTTGAATGTTAATCGAAATAGCCAACCTGATAATCTGGCACTAAATTGTTCTTGTGGACTTCAAATGGTATAATATACCTTAATCAACTAATCGATGACATTGTTGAATTGTTGAATGGTTCTCGAAAAAGCCAACCTGATAGTCTGGCACTAGATTGTTCTATTGATGATGTTCAAGACAAATCTTTCAAATAACTTAGAAATAACCAGAAAAAGAGTTATTTTTCTATAAGAAACGACTAAACTCAAGTTTTTACCCATTTTTGGAACGATTGATTACGATTGATGTCATTTTAAATATGAGACATGAGTTGGGTAGTTTTAAAATGTAGTTATAGATATGTTAGATAAATGCCTATTTTGGTTGTATGCATTGTAGGAGTTCTTTGGTCAATGTCTGGTGGCTTTTCTTTGAATTTGTTTAATTACAATAAAAATTCTTTTTAATGTTCTAAGAACTAACTGTACTAATTTTGTTATTTTAGTTTTTATTCTAGTTTGCTAGGAGAAAAGTGAATTAAATGGTAATTTGTCTAAGAGAAAATGTTTATATTCTGTCCTTAGATATGTGGATTAGTCATAAAATCGAATTGTACAAGAAAAGAGCATTGTCACAACCGTCCCTCGGGTCCATAGAAATAAATTAAAAACAATAAGTACTAGGTAACAATAGGTAATAGGTAATAGCATGAAATATAGATATCTAAAATACAAAACCGCAGTAAAAGAATTTATAAGCTACTGCATATCGTTTCAGAGATATTTGCTGAAAATCATTTGCATAAATTGTAATTTTTCAAATGTGTATATCCCTTATAGTATTTGAACTGCAACCGAAATATATTTATAGCACATTCCTTCTGTCATAGGGAATATATCCTGCAATTCCCATTATTTATTGTTGATGAGAAAACACCAAAATGTTTTATAATGGTATGGCATTGCGCCTTAAGGCAAATTGCTGGAACTTCCCAGAGCGTAACGAAATGTTCGAGGAATATTAAATGTTTTCAAATAGATTATTATAAATACTGTAACATTGTCTAATAATTATTTATAAGAATCATTTAAACTGAATTGCAAAGTTAAAATTATTCTGTATTCTTCGAACATTTCGTTACGGTACGGAAAGTTCCAGCAATTTGCCTTAAGGCACGATGCCATACACCACTAGTTATCTGTTCAAATTTCACCCAAAAAGGATAAGAAATCAAAGTTGGTAAATAACTACTAATGTTCGATTTACTATTGGCTCTTTATGAGCAATTTGCTCTAGATCACGTTTATGTAAGGCACTGATAGAAAGCAATAATGGAAACTTGTTCGAACAAACATACTTCATATTTTTTCCTTTGGACCCTATATCAAAATCAGTATAGTTTAGCTGTTATGACGACTGTCACTAATGTACTCTGACACAACCGTGCTAAATACGATTTTAAAAAAGGAGTGCGCGTAAGTTTCACACGCGATTGAAGTAAAACTTATTTGCTACTGTACAAGATGGCATTCAAGTAAAAATAAATACATCATGTAACAATTTTGAATAATGTTTATTAGTAATATGTGGTAACACTCGTGATGCACACATTTATTAGTGTCGACCATTATACACATTTATATAATGATAAATTATAAATTAATTAAATAATGTAATAAATAATGTAATTAAAGTCATACTTCAAATATGACATGATCGGTTTGTCATTGCAATTGGTATTTACGACTCGAACCTTTATTAGAGAAATGAAGTAATTGCTGATTAATAAATTCTATAATATTCGTTAACATAGTGAATTATGTAATAATTGTGTTTGAAGAACTTCATGTAATTAAAATTAACATACATTCATTGATTGATTGTATTTTTTTTACTTTTTTGCTGACGGTACAGTCTCATTCTTTGAACAGCTGTAATATCTGTTTTGCCTAAAAAATATTTTCCATTTTTAATAACTTCAAAGATTTATGGAAACTACGAATAATATAGAAATAATTTCTAATCAATAAATTTGCGTTTAGTACACGGTACAAATGTTTAATTTGTTTTATTATTTTCAAGGAACAGGGTAAAATATTCTTTTGATTCAGGCATTTTTTTATTAAGTCAAGATTAGTACTACGATGTAACTTTAAAATGTTTATTTATCTACGTCGATTTCCTTGTTGATATCGGTACCCATACAACAACAGATATATTCACTCGACACGACGACTAATCACAATCGACCCACTTGAAATGATTTCATCGAATTTCATTTGTACGGATTTACACCCTAGTCGCGCCTAAAATTACATTTTTTGCCCTAATAATTACCTCAATTATCCTTTACTTAGGAGGATAAGTATGCGCCCCTTCACACACAAGAGCCCTGCCAGGACACATCGAAACAAGCGAGAGAAGTTGACATAAAAGGTGTATCTGTAAGTATGTATTGGCTAGTTGGCCGAATGATTTAAATTTTAAAAACAATTATTAACTAAATTTAATTGCGTTTGTAGGCCAGAGTAGATCGGATAAATATCGAAGGTTTGGGGCGGACCAAAGATGACATCTTAGAACAATCTGTTAAGGAGCTTTTTAAAGCCAGAATTCCAAGATGTTATGGCCAAAGCCCCACAAGTAAGGATAATGGAAATATGGTTTAAATTAATAAGCAT